GAAGAGAGAAGCCCTGGCAGCTAGCTGACTATGGATTTTTAATTTTATTTATTAGCTTTAAGCTGCTGGCACCTAGCTACTGAAGCATAGTCTTGCTTATTTTGTATTGTCTGTTTTAGTTTAGTTTTTGTCTTAAAAGAAATAAATTATGGTAAAATTTGAATTGTTTATTTTGTATGTCAAATTATATATAAAAGAATAGTGGTACGGTGGTAGTTTTTATATTTGAAACAAAAACCTGCATACGAAAACGGAAACCCCAAACCAGCACCATATTTATTTACGCAAAATTAAAATAAATAGGCCTAAGAAATGCTCTCATCAAAGTTTCATAGTCTATCTTCCCTAATTCAGAGTGATTGGGGTTCGAGCGTGAGAAAAGTTCTGCTGAAAAAGAATGAATTATCTATCACGCAGACTATTTACGATGTTCCTCAGCGTAACAGATTGGTCTCAAAGACAATTTTTTAATGAAGGGCGTAACCCCAGAAAAGTTGAGGAGCACAGTTTGTTACCAACGTCTTAGAATCCTGATTTGTTTATTGAAAATAACTAAACATCAACACCTGAAATTATGAGGCCCAGTCTACCTGAGCCGGTCTCATCAATGTGCCGTTTTCACAACTCAAGCACTAATCATCTGAACGAGGAGAGAACCAATAACTTTTAGGAAGAAAAAAATGTTAGGCCTATATAAATTTTATGTAGATTTAGGCCTATTCTAGTAGTTAACATTACTCCTTACATTAAATGTCGTAATTATCAATTTCCGCCACTATGGTACTAGTTCTCTGAATATTTTTAAACCATTTGTAATTGCAATACAGTGGGGAAGGGGGATTCCCCCAACGAGAAAAACGTGGGCGTGGTCAGTCGTCACTAAAGTGGTCCAGGGGAAACAGCTCTTCCCCTCCGAAAATATTTAGGGGTTTCAAAGGCTTATTTAATCGATTTTAGAATCTATTAATATAATTTGTTTTGTCTCCCTTGTGGTTTTTCTCCCATTAAGGGGGAGGGGGTTGAGGATGTAGCTCCGTACCCCCCTCCCCCTTCCTTCCAAGCAGCGCCACCACTTTGTAGTAAGCATGTCCAATTAAAAAATCGAACATCGAGGAGTAAATTTAAATCCATGCTGTATGCATGCAGAATTTGTGCAAAAAGAAGTTTAGAAGGTGATTAAAAATTCCATCATTTCGCTATTCTGCTGCGCTAGCTTGTCTCGCTATGTAGCGCATGGGTGATGCGTTATGCTTAACTCTAAAAACCTATCATGGTTAGCTATCCATCCAAAGAGTCGCATAATTCAACCAGGTCTTTGCCTATTAACTACTTAATTTAGACGTTAAAAAGTTTGTTTTCGGTACTGTACAAATTTTAATGGTCAAAATGTGGAAGAACACACTATTAATATACCAATACATTAAAAGGGTAGTTAACCCATGAAAATGGTGATAATACTTTAGGGCTTTGATTGGTTTAAAAAAAAAAAAAAAACTTTTCCTCAATACAGTTGATGTAATACATGCAATTTAAGCAATTGGAAATTATGATTAAAAATATTTTTGGTAGTTAAAAAAGCTTCTCCAAAAATATGTAAACAAACATTAAAGAAAAACATATTGCAATCCATGCAGCCTTTCTGGAATTTATTGTTTAGAGACGCCATGTACAAACAAAGCAACAAGTTTCAGGTTCTAAATTTCTATTATTATTTAAATATGCTTTACACAATAAACTATTTACATACTGTAACTGATTACTAAAATATACAATACATTGTCAATCATGAATAAAAATGCTGGAATGAATACATATGATATGCTGGAAACCAACATAATGTAAAGAAAAATAAATAAAAATAAGGCATTCTTGCAGCACTATTAAATAATTAAATTGTATACACATAATTACAATATTATTGCACTGGGTTGTTTGTAGCATCAAGATACCTGTACTTGGCAGATTAAATTACAATCACTAAAAAACATTTTTTATGTGTATACAGCTAATTAGAAGATTATTAAAATTTCATTAGGATATCATTATTTAACTTTAAAGCCAGATGCCAATATTTGGCCTATGAAATTACAATCACTAAAAATATCTTATGTATATACAGCTAAATAGGACATTATTAAAAAATCATTGTGATATTATTATTTAACTTTAAAGCCAAGTACCTACACAGTATTTTGCTGATTAAATTACAATCACTAAAAAACATTTTTTTTAATGTATACAGATAATTAGGACATTATTAAAAATTCATTATGAGATTATTACTTAACTTGAAGCCAAGTGTACCTATACTTGGCTGATTAAATTACAATCACTAAAAAACATTTTTTTTATGTATATACAGCTACAGTAATTAGGAGATTGTTAAAATTTCATTGGGATATCATAATTTAACTTTAAAGCCAAGTGCCTATTGGCTGATGAAATTACAATCACTAAAAACATTTTTTGTGTATACCTACTACTACTAGAGCTAACTAGGCTAGGCCTATTACCTAGGCCTAGTACTATTTATAATATTATTTATATCCACGGATTACTTATCCAGGCATTGCTGCTAGGCCGCTACTACAATACATAACACAGGCATTCGTTCAAAGCATAAACCTGCTGAAAGTCTCATCATTGGTAATAGAATACCTCTAAACGCTCTAGCATTTCAAATAGTTCAAATGTTCCCAAATTCTTTTCAAAACACACCCTGGAAATTTCTTTTCAAGAAATTCATCGACATTCTTCATCAATGTACCAAATGATCATCACTCTGCAGCCCTCAAAGTCGATCAGTACTTTAAGGAGGGTCTCAGTTCAAAACGGCAATAAACTTTTATGACATATAATATATATCGGGTATATTTTTTTTGTCTGTATTTTAAAGTTTTATTTATTTGAACGTTCACTGATATTATTGTGTTTATTTTTATTATTCAATTTGTATTTTGTGATATTGTTATAAGGCCTATTTCTACTTCTTCTTCTTCTTATTATTATAACTACTACTGTACTGTTTCATTATTATTATTTTAAATTAATGTCATTATATAATCATTTTGTCACTATTTTAAATTTTAAATTATTTAAATGTCTACTGCTTTTATATTGTGTTTCGTCCAATATGATTATTATTATTATTTATTTATTTTATTATTTTTTTTTTGGTTATTTGCTGTTTTGAGCCATTGCTATTCTGGTTAAAAAGTGTCAATCAGAACGAACACTTTCCTTAATAAACAATTCCATCTTCTTCAAAACTGTGTAAAAATACCTAGGCTTAGACCTACCGCCTCAAAACATCGTACCACTTCAACGCGTTTCTATTCATTTCGTACCACGTTTCTCTGTCTAGCTGATAAGTCAGGCCTTGCTTGAATGGTTATCAGCAGAGGGGTGTAGGGTATTATATTGAATAGCTGATCAAAACCTTACCAAAAACAATGATTAATCATATCTTCGTAAGTACTTGGCCAATTTTAACGGGAAAAGCGTGAAAATATTCAAAATCATGAAATAAAACATTATTCGTAGCCCACTATATAATTTATGGCATAACATTATAAAATAAATGTGCATCAGTCAAGGATTGCTTATGTGAGTAGGTGTGAAAACCTAAGAGATTAATCACCATATAATCTAGTCTAGCTAGTCCTTTTTTTCCATTTAGCCATGGATCTCGACCTGCAATGAGTATTTTCTATAGGCCTATCTTTACTCTAACCCGGACTCTTATTATAATGTAAATAATAAGGCCCTATATGATGACGTTTCATCTTCATTTTTATACATGCCAATGGGTTATAGATCTTTAGTGTAATTGGGTGTGATTTTGTGTTTACATGTGGTGAGAATGGATAGCATATGGATAGCATATGAAGAGTTGGGAGGAACAGGGAACACAGAAGAAATCAGTCTCGTGTCAATAGGATGGTAGTGTGGTACGTCGAGTCTAATGATCTTTTCGATCACGATAGAGTGCAGCATACAACAACAAGCATAGCGGAAGTGCCCCTCCCCATAATGCATCTACATTTCTAGGCCTAGGAGGAAAAAATAAAGAAATACACAAAAAATGTCTGCTTTAGAAACTTTGTTTGATAATGAAATTCCAGCTGGTCGCCAGGCTCTGGAGAACAGTCAGGCTAACCTCCTAGATGTAGCTGCATACTGTGAAGACAATTATGTTAAGGTGAGGCTCAGTTTTAGGCCTTCCCCTCCCTTCTGCTCAACTCAAGAAAGCCTTCATTCAATCTTGCCCTGCAGCCTGCTGGGCCTTGAGCCCTAGGCGTAGGCCTACTCCCTGCTTGGGGTCTTATTAGCTAGGCCTAGGCTAGGCACCAGCTAGCTAACCTGCCCATCTGTAGACTAGGTTTTCTATACTAGTGCTAGCCTTACCTATCCTTGTACTTACTGGCCTAGCCTAGCTAGAGGGTAGCAGGTCACTTATTAGGCTCAAAACCAGATATAGATGGGCCCAAACCAACTTGGAACAAAACCAACTCGGCCCCAGACGACACTTCGGCCCAAAACCAACTCGGCCCCAAACCAACTCGGACCAAAACCAGTTTGGCCCAGAAGAGAACTACCCTTGATGATACAGAAATACCCAGATGAATAGCGATTGGGATTACCTGTCCATTACCCAAATGACAATTATTATTATTATTAATTTAGTATTACTATTATTATAATTATTAATTTTATTTATAGGTCCAGTGTTATTTTTTTAGTATAACTATTCTTATTATTTATTTTTACATTATCCGAATTATATATTTTATAATTATTATATTATGATATTTATTGTTATTATTTTAGTATTATTATTATAATGGGTATTGCTAAACCCCGTAAACCTAAAAGAAAATACAAATAAATACAAAAATGGCCTTTCTACCCCCAAAATAGGTTGTGATGAACATAAAATTATGATTTTTTTTAATTGAGATACCAAGTGAGTCCTATACTACATGATTCAAACACTATCACAAGGTTTGGATGGGGTTTGCACTGTGTTTTGGGGGTTTGCGGGGTTTAGCAATTTTTTAATACAAAAAATGGGCTTTTTACCCCAAAAATAGGTTGGGACAAACATAAAATTATGATTTTTTTCACTTCTGCTGTTGTTCTTTTTCTTGTTACCAAACTTAAAAAACTTTGAAACCGTCCAGCGTCACCAGTTTTGAACGGACGTGCATGATTCGAATTGAGACCTTCGGTTAAGGATGTGTTCTAAATAACTGAAGGTTGTAAGTTTGAAACTCCAATTTTAAGATTTTTTTTTTTTATTTTAAGTATTTTAATTTTGTAAAAATGATCATTCTATAATGCTTTTTTTCTTGTACAAATAAACATCTTATTAGCTCTTCCAAAAAACCTAATATAATAACATGCGCCTGTACCGTATTTAAGAATGGAGGAACACACAGACCTGGTGAGCGGTCGCTCTTGTTTAGAAGAATCTTCATACCATTATAAAATAATGTATATCTGTAGGATTATAAAGCAAAACAAAATACACGAATATCCGGATTTATTCAGGTACATTTAATTCAAACTGTCTACATACAAAGTTTTTTTTTTAATTCACGATGGAAAAGTTTTAAAGTAAACAGTAGGCCAACGGTAGGCCTACAGTACTGTTATTTTAGGCTGGCTGCCACAGCAGGGGTTTTTTTTTTTGTTTTTTTGTTTTTGTTTTCCGATGAACATAGCACCTTGCAAAAACTGACAATAAAAGTCAACTATTCATTTCACAACACAGGGACCACCCAACTATTTTAACCTGCCGTCTTGAGTAAATCAATATCGTATATAGATAGTTTTTTATAGAGTTGTCGTCTGGCCGAGTTGGTTTGGGCCGAGTTGGTTTTGATCCGAAGTGTCGTCTGGGGCCGAGTTGGTTTTCGTCCGAGTTGGTTTGGGCCGAATTGGTTTGGGCCAATTTAGTTTTTGGCCGAAGTGACCAACATTCGCCTAGAGAGGCCACACAAGCCACTTTGCTGCTGGTGCTGCATTGTATATTGAATTTATATTGTTTGTGTAATGTAGGCAAAGACTTTGCCAAAAGTAGTAAATGAAAATAGATTAGGCCTTATAATAATTGATAGTGTGTATGTATAACTGCTTCATTCATTAGCATTGATTGGTTTGTTTCTTCTATATAAAGGCCTATAGTAGGCCCATATTATAAAGTTTTTTAATTGCGCGGAACAGAGGACATCTAAAAAATCATCTCAAATTTGCGCGGAAAATCACTAGGAAAATAGGTGCACGGAATCATAATTGCTGCATAATTGCTTTGTTTATATACATTTGTTCAAAGCCTAATTTTTTGCAAAAAACCTTATTTTCTAAAATGCACGGACAGATTTCCAGGCCAAATTTTTGCACGGAGGATATATTCCCCACGCAGGCCTTACTATACAATCTGGCAGTAGGCCTAATATTTTTTTTTCTTTTCATCGGATGATGATAAATAGCCCCAATCCCACTGTGTACTATAGGCCAGTATAGGTCATACCGTAGTGATTCATTTTGGCAAAGTTTAAAAGGACAAAACAGAAGTAGATAAGTTAATTGCTTTCTTTCACTAATGACACTAAAAAATAACAAGGTACCCTATTGTAGGGAGAGGTAGGCCTATTGTATGTTCAGATTCTGAAATTTTGAACGTTTTTCCTCTGGCTGCCAAAAAACTGTAATTTTGCCATTTTAATTTATTGTATTTTTATAAACTAAAAATCTGTTACAGGTTTTCATATTTTTAAATGAAAATAAGTACGTTTGACGTATGAGCTAGATGCGAGGCAGCGAGTGAATTCTTTGATAACTTCCAGACAATATTGACAGTGTTTTAAAACAACTCGTGCAGTTAGGTAGCATGGATGAATGGATTTATTTGGTGTAAAAACCAAGGATTACCCATAAAAGACTTATTTCCAGTGGGGTCCTTCTGTTGGTGATTGGGCAGTACACCCAGCGACAATCCCCTACTCTTTTCCCGAAGAATACTGTGTTCTTTAATGTGCACATGGGCCATAATGAACACAGGACCAATGGTTTAAGCATCTAATCCAAAAGATAGTGGCTTGTCGTAATTTCAGTCCTCCAGTTGAAATACAAGGGAGCAGCGATGGGAATTGTACCGGGGGCCAAGAGATTTCCACATTCAAGTGCACACATGTGGCTGCCACCTGTTTTGCCGACTGTACGCTAAGTTTGATTGAGAAGACATTAAAGAACATTGTTTTAATTTAAAACTAATAATAATAATTATATGTCAGTCTTACAGTATACAGTATGCACTTCATGCATAAGCGCTTCACATTGCTACCCCGGTTATTGGATCAAACAAGTATGGAACACATACTCAGCTCCCTGGGGAGAATTCCATAATATTGCAGCTAGTAATCAGTGCAGTGTTCGAACCTACCAGGTACCAACTTGTACTCCTGGGTGGAGAGAGGCAACTGTAGATAAATTGCCTTACCTAAGGACACAAGCGGTTTGCACAGCGAGAGTTTCAAACCCTGACCTCAAGGTTGGGAGTCCAAGCCACTCTGAGAAATTTGTTATATACAGTATTTATTGAGAAATCTATAATAATATGCCTAGATTACAGGTAGTTGAACGCGAGAGCCTGAGAGGGCCTTAAATGCTTTGGCTCATGCCAAATGCAGGGACTTACTAGGTCTTTTCTGAGTTTGGTAAATATAACTCAATACTGTACATTTCTATTTCTAGACCAAATGTCAAGAATAGTAGTTGGTGTGTATTAATTAGTAACTATTTGCCAGAGAAATATCTTGTGTGTGTATTGTAGAATGGGATACTGGCTAAAGTCAGGCTGTTGGATGGTGGTGATTGGAACACACAGTATATAAATTTGTTACGGAAGCTTAAAGTGGCCTTCCGCGTTTCCGAGTTTCCAAGATAATTATCTTGGAAACATGGAATAAATACATATTAAGACATCTTTCCGAGATAATTTATCTCGGAAAGAATAAATTCCAAGATAAAGACGTCTTTCGAAGATAATTTAACTTGGAATTCCTTCTTTCTAAGATAATTTATCTTGGAAAGACGTAATTCCAAAATAAATTATCTTCGAAAGACGTCTTTCCAAGATATGTTATCTTGGAAAGACGGAATTCCGAAATAATTGAACTTGAAATTCCGTCTTTCCAAGATAATTTATCTTGGAATTCCGTCTTTCCAAGATCAATTATCTTGGAACTCCGTCTTTCTAAGATAATTGATCTTGGAAAGATGGAATTTTAAGATACATTTTGAGTATATTTCCTGCACAATTACAGTAAAATCGTAACGGTACTGGTTTTTGTCTTCAGGAGTTCGTGTTTCGCACAGGCCATTCCACTCATAGAAAAAAACCTTTATTGGAGATAGCGTACCTGTTAGCCATAGTAGCCTAGGTCACGGGGTTGCGCCGGGGTCTATTATATGTATTTTTTACATATGAATACTGTAGACTCTAAAATCGATTAAATAAGCCTTTGAAACACCTAAATTGTCGAAAATTTCAGGGGCTGCGCCCCAGGAATACTTTCGGTGCCTTTTGGTCGAAGCTCGACCACACCCACTTCGCTTTCGTCTGGGAAATCTGACACTTCGGGGGAAACTGCCCCCACCCCCCTCTCCCCCTCATCGGGCAAATCCTGGTGTCACCCCTGCTAGGTCAATACTAACTCCGACTGTATAAAATTGATTATAAAATTGAAAAATATTAATTTTATTATTGTAGTAGTGATAATATGTACACGTTTTATTTATTGTTATTTATTCGTTAACATCATTTTATTTACATTTAAAGTTCATGTATTGTTTAAGTATGAATTACTGTGTCAATGTTAAAAAAATTTTATCTATCAAAATTGTATATTTAAATAATATAGTAGTAGACAAGTCGCAGTATAGCCTAGTCTAGGCCTAAACAAGTGACTATATGTGAGTGTATTAAAATTATAAAAAATATGATTAAAACGCAAAATTGTGAAAGAATAAAGGAAGAATAGGAAAGAGATTTGGAGCGGCTGAAATATCTTCTGAAAATATAACAATTTACAATGAAATACAATAATATTCACTCACAACTTTGAACTTGAACGATTAAATATAGGCCTATTTATTGGTAAGTCACGGGTAGCTCAACTTTCCTGACTACAGCTTTCATGCTATCTTTGAATTTTGAATTTCGTCTTCTTGATATTATCTTGGAATTCCGTCTTTCCAAGATACGTTATCTCGGAATTCTGCCTTTCCAAAATAAAATATCTTGGAAAGACGTCTTTGCAAGATAATTTATCTTGGAATTTTGTTTTTCCAAGATACGTTATCTTGGAATTCCGTCTTTCCAAGATAAATTATCCTGGAATTCCTTCTTCCCAAGATAAGTTATCTTGGAAAGACGTAATTCCAAGTTAAATTATCTTAAAATGACGTCTTTTCAAGATACATTATCTTGGAATTCTGTCTTTCCGAGATAAGATATCTCAGAAAGATGTCTTAATAAGTATCTATTCCATGTTTCCAAGATAATTATCTTGGAAACTCGGAAACGCGGAAGGTCGCTTTAAGCTTCCGTAATTTGTAAATAAACACAGGACCAATGGTTTAAACGTCTAATCCGAAAGATAGTGGCTTGTCGTAATTTCAGTCCTCCAGTTGAAGTACAAGGGAGCAGCGATGGGAATTGCACAAGGGCCAAGAGATTTCCACATTCAAGTGCACACATGTGGCTGCCACCTGTTTTGCCGACTGTACGCTAAGTTTGATTGAGAAGACATTAAAGAACATTGTTTTAATAAACTAATAATAATAATTATATGTCAGTCTTACAGTATACAGTATGCACTTCATGCATAAGCGCTTCACATTGCTACCCCGGTTATTGGATCAAACAAGTATGGAACACATACTCAGCTCCCTGGGGAGAATTCCATAATATTGCAGCTAGTAATCAGTGCAGTTGTGTTCGAACCTACCAGGTACCAACGCGGAAGATCGATTTAAGCTTCCGTAATTTGTAAATAATGTGTGAATTATTTTTGTGCATTCTGTGTTTTTCCAATTATATTAAACAAGTTTTTTTTTATTATGTGCAGGCTGAAGACAAAAGAGTTGCCTTGGAGGAAACCAAGAACTATACAACTCAATCATTGGCCAGTGTTGCATATCAAATCAACACTTTAGCTACAAGTATGCTTCAAATGCTTGACCTACAGGTCAATCAGTTATCTACAATGGAAGCTAGTGTTAATCACATTGCTCAGGTAAATCAAATTAAACCATGATTAACTCTTATAATTATGCATAAACCTGAATCTCATCTCTCTGAGTCAAGGTTTGAACTGGCCGTGACAATCAAGGAAATGTAATTTTGCTGTCCTATATTTCAGGCATTTAAAGTCATGGAAAATGAGAAAGTATCGTGGATTTAGTATTGAAGAAAGCACTATAATTCATATCAAATCTTCAAAATCACATTAGAAGCTAAACAGCTAATTTTTGAAAATGAACTATGATTTTTTTTTTTATTTGACAAGTTTTCTGTTATTTCTATCTAGCAAAACCTATAACCTATAAAAAGTCAGTAATTATTACTGTTCTCTTCTGTTTATAGACGGTAAGCATCCACAAGGAAAAGGTTGCCAGAAGAGAAATTGGTGTTTTGACCACTAATAAGAATGTGACCCGGACGCATAAAATCATAGCACCAGCAAACCCGGAAAGACCAGCCAAGTACAAATCAAAAATCATTGATTACACATCTTTAGATAGTATTGGACATGGATTGAAAATCGGGCAACCAAAACAGAGAACGCTCTCAAGAAGTAGCGAGCATAATGCTCCTGCGGGTGCTTCCTTGCCCATTGTTCAACCTCACAGCCAGTATGGTACTATTCGTACCCAGCCTGGTGTAAGACCAGTTTCTACCCCGCGGGTACCAGGCTATGCAGATGTCGGTCAGTCTCAAAGTTTACAGAGGAAAGGTGGTCCACCTCCTCCACCTTCTATGCCACAACAAGTTCATCCAAATCAGTCCAATGTCTCTCCATATATACAGCATGACCTTTCACAGTCTCAACAAAATCAGCCTAATATTGCCCCAGTCAGACCAGCCCCTGCACCGCCCCCACCACCAGCTCCCATGCCGAGCAGTATACCTCCACCACCACCGCCAATGGCACCACCAGATATGATGGCGGGTGTTCCTCCACCTCCACCGCCGGCGGATAATGGATATAATCGTGTGCCGTACTCGCACCAGGACCAAATACCACCTCCTCCCTCGAATCCTGTGGATGACAGACCATCCGGGTTCTCAATGAGTGAGCTTAACAGGGCATTGTCAATTAATAGAAAGAGTTCAGGTGGTTATGGAGACGAATTTGCAGATATGCCTCCACCACCACCCCCAGATGAACCCCCAGCATTTGACATGACCAGTAAGTCTATGTTTACTACTGTTTCATTATATAGTTTATGTTGTTCTTTTTGTATAATTTATTCAAAATTTATCATTTAATTTCTTAATTTCATAAATTAATAATCACCTATCCTTGTAAACCCTGAAAAAAGTGATGCAATTTTTCCCCTTTTAGAAATCCTGCCTATGGACTTGACAATCTTGAATAAATAGGCTTTAATCACGAGAAGAAGCCCATCTCAAATTTTATCTTTAGTTCGCAAAAATAGCCTCGAAAAGAAGCCCATCTTGAAAAGAAGCCCATAATACAGATTGATGTTACAGTAATCCCCAAAATTTATGGCATTCATTTTGAAAAAAAAACCCTCTATTCTTTGCAGAAGTAGCCGCGAAAAAAAGCCATGGGCTTCTTTTAAAGATAGCATGGGCTTTTTTTTTAGATAGTGCAGTACATACACTGTACATGAATTTCAAAGCAAGAAAATAAATTAAAAACACGCTTGGTTTATACCGTAGTTTAGGTGATTTATTGCGGTTAATACACTCCATGATACAGACTGATGTTACAGTGGCCCTATTTATTGTTTTATAGTAGTAATTCCCAAAATTTACAGCATTTATTTTGAAAAGAAGTCCCCCTCGATACAGTACTTTGCAAAAGTACTGTATCCTTGAAAAGAAGCCCATCCAAAGTTGCAAAAAAATGAAGAAGCCCAAGGCTTCAATTTAAGGTTTTACAGTATTGATATATTGGTAGATCATAAAATAATCACCACCAGTTCAAAGATGCCTCACATATTTCAAAGCAGATGAGATTAGATTCTGTCTTAACAACAATCAATAATTTTTTTGCTCAATCTACTTCAAATTCAAGATAGTTTGAATAAATACTTCAGGTCATTGTTGGTACTTTAATTTTTTCCTGATAGGTTGTTAAATGAGAATAAAATTGTATTGAAATTAATATAATAAACATACTTCCATTATATTTTTGCTAAATGAAAACATGCTCATTGTTTATCTTTGATCAGTGTCCCCATTACCGCCACCACCCCCAGAAAACTTTGAAGCAATAGATTATGATGCAATGATGCCCCCGCCTCCTCCGCCACAGTTCCTGCAGGAGGATGAGCCAGAATGGGTGCCGAAGGACTATATTCAAAAAGGTACGTCAGCTCTTAATAGGAAGCTTTTGATTACAAGACGACTGTAAAACTTGGAACGTAATGACATCACTAAAAGTCACCTGCGCATGCGAGAACGTTAAATTCTCATCGCGTGAATTCTGGCCAAATCTACGTATGCAAAGAAATGTCTGGTAGGACAGTCACACATCAGTGATACCGTTCTAGCGTAATGTCGTCGCGCAAATCAAAATCTCCCTGTTGTATTGTAACTGACATTTAATTTTAATATTAGTCTGTTTACTATTTACTGTGATAGTAGTTTGTGTAGCTGTGGTGTTAGTCTACATTTTCAGCAAGATTGTTTTCCAAAAACAAGGACAAAATCATCAAAATCAAGTCTTAACAACAACTACAACACCAAAAAAAAAACAAAAAACAAACAAACAGTTCAAAATGGAAAGCAGAGGTTGTAGCTCTATAAGCCAGAGGCTTGTTTTCATAGAGGTCGTAAACAAAGTGGAAAGAAATTTACTATCAAACCTTTCTCAGAAAAATCTGGGTAGGGGCCATGCAAAGTGCAAGCACCAGTCCGGGTGTATTGGGTGGGGGGTGGCTAGTGCTTAAGATTATTGTTTTGAAATGCTTCACCATAGCGACACTAGTAGAGATTCACCCCTGTAATATATGTTTTCATTCCCTTCTTTGGGTGACTGACAGATTCAAACCAAATACTAGTCATATACTGTATTTAGTGGCTTACTGTATCTTCATCTTTATATCTGAATGTTGCTGTTAATATTTATTTTGGTTAGTTTTGTTTATTCTACTCTCCCAAAGTCAGTATTAACTTCCTTGATACCATACTGCATGTGTTTTGAAAAGCATTTTAACTTGTTTTTTTGAAATGTTATTTACAGAAGTTTCATTCTATTGCAGTTGTCGCTATCTATGATTATATTGCAAACCAAGATGATGAGTTGACATTTCAAGAAGGTAACATTATCTATGTTGTAAAAATGAATGAAGATGGGTGGTACGAAGGTGTCATGGAAGGTGTTACAGGCCTATTTCCAGGGAATCATGTTGATATATGCCCATAGTTGGATTACATAATCAACATAAACTAGTTATCAAAATTAATTAATTTTGAACCAGTCTATTATGTTCATTAATTTGAACTTCTTTTTTCATGACTTGTACATTTCAAATCTTGATGTTTTCTTATCTGTTACAGTAAGCTAAACATATTTTTTTGTTTGTTTATTAAAATATTCATTCGAATAGTGGATCTAGTACAGTAGAATGAGGAAGTATTACAGATAAAATAGATATTTATACTCGAGTGTTAACATAAGTAAAAGTTTGGTGCAGTGGAAATGGTTTGACTTCCCAACCCAGCTCCGAGGTGAGGCTTTCAGTCCCTTGCTGTGCATTTCGCTTGTTTCCTTGAGCAAGACACTTTACCTGCATTGCTTCTCTGCACCTAGGAGTATAAGTAGGTACCTGGTAGGTTTAAATGCCAAAATGCACTGATGTAGCTGCTGCATCATTATGGAATACTTCCCCAGAGAGCTGATTTTGTGTTCCATCAATCTAATGACTGGGTTGATGATAATCTGAGCACATTGGTCTCTTCATTATGCGCTATATAAGTCTACCATTATTATTTATTATTATATAACATTGGATATATAAATAATTATTGTTATTGTATATTCAAAAGATGATTTAGGAGTGACAGGTGAAGAAGTATGATCCGTCTCTTAAGCTATGTTCAGATTATCAAGTTTTCTTTGACAAAAAACAGTTGTATGCCCATATATAGACATGATGTGATGTCATCATGACCATATTTAGGCGCATGCCACTTGTTTTGTCAAATTAAATTTGATGGTTGGGCATTGCTTAAATTGTAAGTACTATTAATTTTTATGACAAATAACTGTGATATGCTCATATTTGGGTATAATATGACATCATCATGCCCATATATAGGCAGAACTTTTAAGATCAAAACCATGATATATATATGCCACTAATTTATAAATATTAAATTAAAATAGCTGATCTAATATTTAAGTATGATTGGTTTTGAAATTTAATTGTAGCATACAATCGCTCATTTATACCCCAACCAATGCAATTTTGAATTTTAATTGCCGAGATTCCAAAATCTTGTCTTAACTTGTAAATGTAGACTGAATTACTACAAGGATTTAGAAACGAACAGTAGTATTGAATTTTATAATGAAAAGTGTTATTGAACTACTTGGTACTATACTTGGAACTATGTGAAAAATGGTAGACACCTTTTATCTAAGGGATGTAACTATCATAGTTGCCATAATTGATTCTTTTGTGACAAATGTATCATGGAAAACTAATTTTTGTAATTTTTATTTTACTTCTGCTTTTTAATTTTTTTCCCTCATAATTGTTATCTTGATGCTTTCTCATACTTGACATTAATTGCTACTCAAAACAATTTTACTTGTCTGTACTTTTACTTGTTTAATAATTACTTATTTATATAACTTTAGTATTATAATAATGTGTAACCATTGTTAAAATATTATTAACTGTGCATGAAGGTGGTGAGTGATGTAATTATTGTATGCAGTCTTTATATGAATATCATTGTTATGTAAATGTGATACTATACATTATTCAACACCATTTGTGTTACAAATACAAATTTACAGTAACTGGAAATTCAAAAGAAACTAAGAAATATAACCTAAAAAATTACATAAAATTAACTAAATAAAACAATTGTTTAAACTACCAAATATCTTAACAAGACTTATATCTCAAACTAACTTAATTATACTTTACAAATTAACTGGAATACAAAACAAAACAAAAATACAGTAGTTATGTTAGAAACTACCACGGACAAATCTGTTAGATAAATAATGAGGTATTTGTACCCCTCAATGTTTTGGGTTTAAGAAATACAGCTTTTGTAGAATTTGTTGGCCTCATCAGATGAACTAAGCTATATTGTGACCTGACTTGCATTTTAGTCGTAGTGATTTCTAAAAGAGATACAATATATTGTTGTAATGCATAGTATACAATATTTGGTTCCATGGTTTACTTAAACACTTAACTACATTAATGTTTTATTTGGTTCCAATTACTAAACCACTTAACTACATTAATGATTCAGTCATTTAGAAACCAAACACTGTCTCAGAATCAAATAAAAAAAAATCAATTCTGATATTTGTTTAGAATTTGGTTCCAGATGCTAAAACACTTAACTACCTTAATAACGCATTTGGTTTCAGATGCGCAGACGTTGATTACTGTACATTGCTCATTTTGGAACCAAACACAGAATCGACTTTAAAGGAAATAAATTTTAAAATTTAAAACCACTATTGGTACTATTACTATTATTATTATTACACATCATTATTATTATTAATTATACTATTATACTGTAATAATGTTTATTGTGAGATGGAAAGTAGAAGAAATATTGCTTTAAATAAATGTGGGTGTGACTCCCAAAAAAGGAAATAAACTTTGGAGACCACTAGCATTGTTTTGGTCTTCGTTTAAGGTTTTTGGATTTAATCACCATCTAATTATGCTGATTTTGGAGACCACTCTTTACATACTGTCTCCAATTAGGCCAAATAAAAAAAAATATTGTGTTGGCCACGCCCGGCCGACCCAAATTTTACTAAATTCAGGGTCAGCATTTTAGTTTTTTTTTTTTTTTTTTTTTTTTTTTTTTTTTTTTTTTCATGAGCTAATAAGGCTGAAATAGCCGTAGACTAGGCTATGAGGAAAAGGCCTAGCTTATTTTGGTGCATGGTACGTGATGCGAATCCAAAATTGTATATTTTGAATATTTATACCTTTTAAGCAAGCGTAAACATATTTCCTACCGACTTACCCATTTTTTGGATTTTCCCAAAATAAGGCCAACACAAATTTTTTTTTTTTTTCGGCCTTATTGGAGACGATTTCAGTTTCTATTACCCTCTATGTATGCTAAGACCGCCCATTGCCGTGGTCTTCATTTTAGATGTTTCAAATAAAGACCGCACCTCAATACCACTCCAAATGTTGAGGTAGTCTCGGATAGGAGGGCTAAATGTAAGTGATATATGTTTCAGTTTTAACTTTAACGGTTAGAGGTATTAAGGCTTTTTATGGTCAAATTTAAATTTGTTTAAAATGGTGCTTTCTGGCTGTTTACCAGTTTTATCAACTACCAGTTTAACAATTGTTGTTTTCAATGTATTTAATTTTTTTTTAAAGTATTTTATTTCAATAAAATTTTTCATTTTCGTATGCCAAAAATATATCAATTTAAAAGTCTTTGGTTACTTTATCATCATTTAAATTAATAATTTCTATGTTCCTTGATTATACTGAGTTTTAAGATCTAATGAAAGTAGATAAACATTGATTCTTCAATGTACAGTATATATTTCATAATACATTCATTACGTTTATAAACAGGTGGTATTTATCAGTGTATCCACAAATTTTCAAGTTACATGAATGTCCAACATAGTATAGCAGGAAATTGTGTAGCTATTTATTCACAAACGTTACCAGAGTAGGCCTGTATGTGTTCGTTACATCAAGGTAAACTGTAACCATAATTTTATTATAAATGAACAAATATTATGCTAACCTTAAAATATGCATTTTTATGTACTGTATCAACCCTTTAATCATCTTTGTATTATTAAGTCCAGAATAAATTGACCACACTAATTTTTGTCTTGTTTCTATTCAAAGATCGCTAGTACTGCGTTACAGATTGTAGGATTCAGTTCAAGACAATATATTCAGTGTGATTTGTAATGATTTCACAAGAAATAATGAATTGGGTGTGGTTTGGTGGTGGTGAGGAGTATTCATTGATTAATTCTATTGGCAGATGCCCCTCCCCCTTCCAATTAAAAAAATAATAATAAACAAATAATAGAGAAAAAAAAAGAAAATTATGTTCAAATTTTAAGTCTTTGAATGCCATTTCCGGCCATCATAGGTACCATAATAATATATTTTCCAACCATAGTCAGCCTGGGCTGATATAGACCCTCCATCTGTGATGATCAGATGAGGGGAGCTAATTTGCAAAATATGGTGATTTTAGGTGATTTTTAACTACTTCACTGTGATTAATTTAGGGGCCGAGTAATTTTTTTTTGGGTGGGGGTGGGGGGCGTGTGCCTTCCAATGCCCTCCCCTAGATACGCCATTGATGATAAGTCATAGATTTTTGTAATCAGTCATCAATCATAAGTACGTAGCTTGTTAAAGCAAAGCTGTATAGAAACAAGATTACTGTATTTATTTGAATAAACGCCCTACTTTGAATGAACGCCCCTCAAATAAACGCCCCAGAGCTTCCCTAGAGCTTCATTTGGAATAAACACGTCGGGGCGTTTATTTTTTCTTTAAATAAACGCCCTCTACTCCTGTAGAATTAAATTTATTCTAATCTAGCTAGGATCAATACGTATGAGCACGTAATGACATTTTGGCGGTAATACTACCGTATGTGTTGTAGTTCCACATTTACAGTCAAATTAGGGGCGTTCGTTTGAGTATTTAAAAATATAAAGAAAAAATTAAAATAGTAAGTTGAAAGTGCTTTAAATATAGAACAACATACTGAAAATTTGGGAAAATTAGTTTAGTATATATTCTGTGAGAGCACTACCTTTTTTCTTAAAATCGAATCAAACGTTCATTGACAATACATACTACTTAAAAAAAAATCGATAACTATATTGTTATATGAATCAAAATTTTGTAAAAATAAAATAACAATTAATGTGAACTAGATTCGAAAAAATCAAAGCTTTTAAATGAATACTTTTGAAAATACAGCAGTGTGAGTTTCTAACAATAGCAAAATGACACCCTTTTCAGCTAAAAAAAAATTAAAATTTTAAAAATTATTTTCAATATTTTATAATGATAACTTAATGAAATTTCTTATGCTATTTTATTGTTTATAAAAAAAAATCAACATTCCATTATTTAAAAAAAAAATCGCGGATGCAAAACTAAAAAACCGAATTGTGGCAAAATTGGCTTTAAGAAAAACCCTACCTGGTCAAAAGGAAATATTCGGATACTTGTATTTATAAAAGTCATGGATAAGGTATTATGAATCGATGATATTTGGGGGGGGGGGGGGCGAGTATTATTTGAAGGGGCGTTCGCACCCCTAGATGGTCCATGGTCCTAATGACCAACTCATACAATTATTAGGCCCTACCCACATAGAGCTCGTGATCGCGGTACCCTGAACTTAAAAAATTAGCAGACGCACTGGGAAGCGTTGTTCACGGCACTGGACTGCAGCGAAAATTTATTCCCCAATCATTAATGGAACAGGCCCACGTCATGCTTGGCTGATTAGTTTTGATTTACATTTCGCAAGTCTAGTGTCATACGCAGCAAAAGTCTAGTGTTGTTGTAGAATGCATTTCAAACCAGGCTGTTGATTTACGTTTAGGAATAAAATTTGGAGAGGGCGTTTGATCTAGGACTATATTTAATTTCAAACCCAGTTAAGAATCTTAGTTTAAAACAATATTTTAAAGAACAGTTGCACGCAGAGATGAATGAAAATGCTTTAAGCTATCTACGGGGCTTCCACTCATATGAACGTAGTTCAAATTTGCGTGTAATTGCAGACGATAATGAGATCAAAACAGCCTATGAACAAGCAAGGATAAGAGGAAGACTTTCTTTTAACAGATCAAAAATCTTAATTTTAGGAGATCACAGTGTGGGAAAGACGTCGACATGCAGACGCTTGCAAGGTAAAGATTTTCGTCATGACGAGCCTAGTACAGTGGGAATTGAAACAAATACTGTCAAAGCAAAAGTTAGTGATGTTAACGGTAAGTGGTGTAAAGTATCAAATACACCACTAGAAGAATTTGAGAGTTCGGCAGCATGGTGGGCAGTATCACATGTGAGGAAACACGGTGTGAATGAAACCACGAGGACCAGTAGCAAGTCAGAAGTCAACCCACAGACCTCGTTAATAAATCTAAAGAAAGACATATTTTATCAGATTACACACAGTATTCCCATGCTAGTTATGTTTCTAAACGGTGGATTTACATTTGGATTTGGATTAATTGTATGGATAAATAATCTTTTCCTAATGTATTTAAGCGATGTTCACACTGGGTACCGTTTCGGTTGTGGATACACTATCGGAATGGTTTTGGTAGACAGCGCAATTGAACTTGGTCAAGGGATCCATATTTCCACTGTTAAAATAGCTTTGTATGCAATAGCTGGCTTAATTGCTGGGGTGCTTATGGGATCAGGTGGTAGAACTGGAGTATGCATAGCATTCTGTATTATGGTGCATCCGAAACAGAAAACATTTACCATCGATAATGTTACAGAAATGATATTAGTCATCTACAGCAAAGCATATTATAATTTGATAATTTACACTGTTGGCATTATTACTATTCTGATGTTTAGGTATGTTTCCGTTAAGATATTGTCGATGAGTCGACAAAACTGCATACCTGTATTAATAAGCATTTTTGTTTGTCTCAAAGCCGCGGGCTTTATCGGAGGGCCGGATTCTTTACGCGTATTTTATACATGTACATGTATTTTTGTACTTGTGAGTGTTATATCAGCTGGGACCCTTTTAGGAAGAAAGTTTGTTGCTTATGGGTATATTCCTCAAATATATATTATTAAGAAATCTATTGGTTTTATGGCAGGTACATTTATAGCATTTTTTTGTGGGTGGGAACTGGCAGATTTAAGAACTCTAAACTTACATAATACCCAATATTCTCTTTCACGATATTTGTTGAGCTTATTCCTCTTTCTGACACCGATCATTGCCTTTGTTGTCTACGAATGGTTTTCATATTTGAAAGTGAAGAATACAACATCTATACCAGTAAAGCATATCCAAAAATCAATGGAAGCAGTTATTCGTAATGAATCTTATTTGGATACTAGACTTAGTCTATGGGACTTTGCAGGACAAAACATATACTATAATACCCACCATATCTTCATGCCAAAGCAGGGTGTATATCTAATAGTGTTCAACGCCGTTAAAGCGGTTATGAATCCTGGGATACAAATTAAACGGCTACAGTTTTGGTTGCAATCGGTTGCTATGCATGGAGACATTAAAAATGTTGTAGTGTTTCTTGTAGGAACAAGACGAGAAAGTGTCATTGACGTAAATGCACTTTTGCATTTTACTCAGCTTGCAAATGCACATCTCTACAAACCCTTTTCTAGGTTATTAGCGTTCCATCCTTTAGGCAGCTTTTTCTTTTTTATTGAAAATTCGTTACAAGTAGATCCAGAACGCAACGTGCTACGAACGGTTATCTATAATGAGATTAAAAAATTGGATTTTTTTCAGGAGAATCATTCAGTAAAATACCTTTTATTTCATGAAATTTTGAACAGGTTTCGCCGAAAAAAATACATTATCATGAGTTTAGTACAGATCTTAGAGGAAGTAAAATCAACATGTAATATAATTTCTCAGAATGAGTTGTGCCTATTCTTGAAGTTCTTTGACAGATCTGGTGATGTCATATACAATGAACGTGATGAGACACTCCGACATTACGTTATCTGTGACCCTCAAATGCTGATAGACATTCTGACAATCTTGGTGAATGTGCCTGAACCTCACCAAAGAAATCGGACAGTAGCTGATTTATGGCAGAGTTTGGAAGAAACTGGCATTGTTGACAGTAAATTACTGGAACACATTTGTAGAAAGAAAAACATATGGCGACATTACCCTTACATCATTCGTTTCTTAGTGGGAACACATTTACTTTTCCCACTTAATGTTATTGATCCAATCGACCAAGTCGGCACTTTTTTTCTCTCGTGTCGACTGCCAAAGATCAATTTAATGTCAACACAGAACAGCAATGTTCACTCGCAAAACATTTTTTATTTCGACTTTGGTGAAATTCTTCAAGAATTTATATTTCTACATCTCATTACTAAATGTTGTGAAGTGTTTAGTTGGGATGAGATCTATTACAATGCAGCAAGATTTAGGACAGGTAAATCATGTCTTGTCTTGATCAGTACAGAAGTAATTTCTGGAAACATTAATTCATACGACAGAAATCTTATCAAAGTTAAAGTTATAAGTGAAGACAACACTCAAACTATGTTCGTTCTACAGAAAATTATTATTTTTATTGAAGAAATAATCAAGCGGGATTTCAACCTGGACTACTTTAGGAAACATTACATCTGTGGACCTGTGTGTCAGAAGTGTAGTTCTTTAGATGAAACAATGTGTTTGGTGAACCTCATTTCTCATGGAAATGATATATCTACACTGGATGGCTGTAAATTAGACATCTATCATAAGGTCACACTTGAGCTAAAGGTAAGATCGGAAAATATATTCCCGACAGTTTCCTATAATTATTCAATTATTTTTTATTATTTAGAGTTTAAAAGTGGCCACTTGACACATCTGTGTATACTTTTAGTTATCCATATTATTTGTTTTTGTTTAATGGAAAGCAGGAATTGGACAAGAAATAATTTATAAATTTTTGAGTCCATCAGAAAAGATCTATTAACTTTTGACACATATTTATTAGTCTTAAGTATTTTGGGCTCCTTTTGGAGAAAAACGCCGACCTAGATTTTAGGTTACTCAGGCTTAAATAATAAATTTTCTTTCCATTTGAAAGAAAAATAATGATATGATGATGAAGTTTATGATAATGATGGTAATGAACAATAACAGATTATTATATGTATTATTAAGTCGGTGCTTGCAATAGTGACTTCAATATTGTGCAACATTAACATTTTTTTTATTAACCATTACATAAAATTCTAAATACCTAGGTATAAAAATCTAAATATTTCTTGTTTCGCAGTTGAATGTCACATGCAGTCGAATACTGTAATAGGCAATGGGATATGAGAAGCTGCCCAACTAAACACCGACAACAATACAATTGGTACGGTAACGCCCCACGAACTCTAATATGACCTCTATGGACAGCAATAATTCTAAAACAAAGGTTATATGGCCCGTATTTTGTTTGAATACGTATGAAGATGTGAATCTACTGTACGTACCTCCTTGGTCTTCTGTATTGTATATATAAACCCAACCAACTTTTGATAAATACTGTACATTGATATTTATGAGAGAAGATGACAAAAACGATATCATCATGACTGACTTCGACGAAAACGCTTGGATAGCAGGCACCGACGAGAAGCAAGCCGAAATGTCCATGTTCATTTTACGTAATGTCCGAAGTAGTAGTGCGGATAAGGAGAAAAATCGTGCACTTTTGGAAGAAAGCATGAAACTTATCACAGTGATACTGTGACACCTAAAGATCATTAAAAAAATAGACCCCAAAAAATAAACCGCTTAGTGGCCGCCATCTTGAAATTCAAAATGGCCGTCAAAATATTGGATTTTTATCAATAATCTTCATCTACAGAACCTAGCACTGTCATTCAAATGTCTTTAACTATGTTTTCAATATCAGGTAGTATTATGCAATCATCAGAAATTATGTCAGATGGCCACCATATTTGCTTTCAAGATGGCTCCCAAAATATTGTTATTTTTGTCATTATTTTCATATATCTACAGTAACGTAACACAGTCAATAACACCTTTAACCTTTAGTATCAGAGAGTATCATGCAATCATCAGATTGAAAGGGGTCCAAAAGATTACAGTTAAGAAGGTAAGACATTAACTGGGAAGACACCACCTTCTCAATGAGTTTGGCTTGAAAAGTTAAGTTAGAGGTAGGTCTGTATATACAGTATGTTTACCAACTGTGACTGAGCTTTTTCATGAATGATTTCCATAGTACAAACTAACTTCTTGTTATAAAAGCGCACCTCATTCTATTCATCTGCTTTACTTGTACCGTTCTTCTCGGCTTGGCTTGCTTGTTTGTTTTGTGCATTGTTTTACTTGTTCTTGCCTAATTTCTGAAGGTTTTTTTTTTTTTTTTTTTTTTTTTTGTTATTTAAGATTAGTTTTGTTATTTAAAGTTAATTTAATATTTAAGATTAGTCTGGGGGCCTAATTACAGGCCTGGGTCTCCTTGGTTCTCGGCACTTTTGTACAGTATAGTTAAGAAACAAGTGAATAAAGTGAATTTATACAATGAACAAAATATCTCACACTTTATTTAACTATATTTAGTAGTCTAAAAGCATTAGGTAAAAAGAAGTAAAATTATGCCTAAAATAAATGTTCATATCAATAATGTTTACTGTAAGTCTTATTATTACTATAGCATATAAAGCCTGGAGATATAGAAAATATAGCAAGCACTCCTGTCCACATTATGTACTGTTATCATTTAAAACATAACTGAAACATTACAGTGAAAGCAAACCATATTATAAAGTTAGTTATGAAACTGTTAAGCTAGGTAAATATTTAATTGCCTGACAAATTTCTGTATATTAATGTATACTTAAAATCGATTTGCTATAATTAGAGGAAGATTTGTTGGCTTTATCATATTAAAATGGCTGTGCATATTATTACAGGTAGGTCAGCGTAATAAAAACTGATAGGTTTACATCCAACCATTCTGTACTGTAATGTACAAACTCGATCAGCTTTCTTTCTTTGTTTTACCATGGAGAAGATATTCTCCATGCTTTTATTATGTATGATAGGTCTTTGCCTGTCTAAAATAGATTATTCCATCCTTCAAAGTGATATATAGTGGGGATATAGTTCTGGGAAGCTATTTATGATTTTGCTGGCATTAAAAAAATCAATTCAAAGATATATTTACAGGTTATATTGAGAGTTTCAATAAGTAATTGAAATTATTGCAAAAACTTTTGTTGAATTTAGATGGAGCTATTGATAATTTGGCTGGCTTTATCATTAATAAAAATCAGCAGGTTTTTATTGAGAGTTTATATGCAGTTTGTAATTTAATAGTAGAGCGGCTAAGGAGAAAAATCGTGCACTTTTGGAAGAATGCATGAAACTTCCCACATTGATACTGTGACACCTAAGAATCCTTAAAAAAAATAGACCCCAAAAAATAAGCCGCTTAGCCGCCATCTTGAAATTCAAAATGGCCGCCAAAATATTAGATTTTTATCAATAATCTTCATATCTACAGCACATAGCACTGTCATTCAAAGGTCTTTATTTATGTTTTCAATATCAGGGAATATTATGCAATCATCAGAAATTATGTCAGATGGCCGACATATTTGCTTTCAAGATGGCTGCCAAAATATTGTTATTTTTGTCATTATCTTCATATCTACAGTAACGTAACACAGTCAATAACACATTGAACCATGTTTTTAATATCAAAGATTATCATGCAATCATCAGGAAATTATGTTACAAGGCCGCCATATTGGATTTCAAGATGGCTACCGATGAAAGTTCCCTTTTCAGTTATATGAAAAAGTTTCTTGATAGTATATAATATATGGCTATAATAGCCACTTACTATCTCAGTGTCATATCAGTATTTCAAAGAAAGGTAAATACAGAAGAAGGGTAAATTTAACTGTTAACGGCTATCTTGATTTATATATTATATATATATATATATATATATATATATATAATAGA